CTCCAGCCTGGGCAACAGAGCAAGACTCCGTCTCAAAAAAAAAAAAAAAAAATTAAAAAAATGTTGCCGGGCACGGTGACTCAAGCCTGTAATCCCAGCACTTTGGGAGGCTGAGACGGGCGGATCACGAGGTCAGGAGATCGAGACCATCCTGGCTAACACGGCGAAACCCCATCTTTACTAAAAAAATACGAAAAACTAGCCGGGCGTGGTGGTGGGCGCCTGTAGTCCCAGCTACTGACGAGGCTGAGGCAGGAGAATGGCGTAAACCCGGGAGATGGAGCTTGCAGTGAGCTGAGATCCGGCCACTGCACTCCAACCTGGGCGACAGACAGAGTGAGACTCCGCCTCAAAAAAAAAAAAAAAAATGTTAAAGCAGTGCCTCACCCTCTCACATCAGCTACGCCTCGTGGCCCATGATGAGGTCTGTAATTATTGGTGTGATTCTCCTTCTGACTTCCTAGATGGGCACCAACAAGTTTGCCAGCCAGCAGGGCATGACGGCCTACGGCACCCGGCGCCACCTCTACGACCCCAAGCTGGGCACGGACCAGCCTCTGGACCAGGCGACCATCAGCCTGCAGATGGGCACCAACAAAGGAGCCAGCCAGGTAAGTGGGGGCCCCCTGGGCACGCCGTCAAAGCCCGGGACACTGGTCACCCCATGGCCTGACTATATCACCCTTCGCAGGCTGGCATGACCGCGCCAGGGACCAAGCGGCAGATCTTCGAGCCGGGGCTGGGCATGGAGCACTGCGACACGCTCAATGTCAGCCTGCAGATGGGCAGCAACAAGGGCGCCTCGCAGCGGGGCATGACGGTGTATGGGCTGCCACGCCAGGTCTATGACCCCAAGTACTGTCTGACGCCTGAGTACCCGGAGCTGGGCGAGCCCGCCCACAACCACCACGCACATAACTACTACAATTCCGCCTAGGGCCACGAGGCCTTCCCTGTTTTCCCCCCAAGGGAGGCTGCTGCTGCTCTTGGCTGGATCCAGCCAGACCCAGCCGACCCCCTCTCCCTGCATGGCATCCTCCAGCCCCTGTAGAACTCAACCTCTACAGGGTTAGAGTTTGGAGAGAGCAGACTGGGAGAATGGGGGGCCCACTGGGGGGAAGGGGACCCTCCGCTCTCTAGTGCTACGGGGTCCAACATAGAGCCGGGTGTCCCCAACAGCACCCAAAGGACGCACTGAGCAAAGCTATTCCAGCTGTCCCCCCGCTCCCTCACAAGTGGGTACCCCCAGGACCAGAAGCTCCCCCAGCAAAGCCCCCAGAGCCCAGGCTCGGCCTGCCCCCACCCCATTCCCATAGTGGGAGCAAACTGCATGCCCAGAGACCCAGCGGACACACGCGGTTTGGTTTGCAGCGACTGGCGTACTATGTGGATGTGACAGCAGCGTTTGTAACGCGAGCACTTTCTTTTTTTTTCTATTTCACTGGAGCACAATAAATGGCTGTAAAATCTCCTGAGGCCTCAGAGCTGCTCTGTTTTGGATACGCTCCATATCCCGCACACACATCTGCACAGACACACGTGCCCACACGCACCCTAAGATGCACGTACACACTCACAAGCACCCTAAGACACACACCTCACTGTAGCCACTCAGACACAGGATAGGCACTCCATCACACCCACATGCAAAGTCCACACACCACACACACACACTCCCCCTTTCACACACAGATACGCACACACATGCAGTACACACTCCCCACGACATGTCAAAAAGGCATAGCCAGCTGGGCACCGTGGCTCATGCCGGTAATCCCAGCACTTTGGGAGGCTGAGGTGGGAGGATCGCTTGAGGTCAGGAGTTCAAGACCAGACTGGCCAACATGGTGAAACCTTGTTTCTACTGAAAATACAAAAATTGGCGGGGCTTGGTGGTGCATGACTGTAGTCCCAGCTACTTGGGAGGCTGAGGTAGGAGAATTGCTTGAGCCCTGGAGGTCTAGGCTGTAGTGAGCCAAGATGGCGCCACTGCATTCCAGCCTGGGCAACAGAGCAAGACTCTGTCTCAAAAAAAAAAAAAAAAAAAAAATGGCACAGTCAGAAAGTCAATGCACACACACACATACACACACATGACCCACACTGCTCTCCCAGAGGCTTGTGGATGGTGGTGACAAACAGCCTGAGTACTGGGACAGGCTGGATGGTATGTGAATCACAGAGCAACTGTCTGGGTGACCTCAGGCAGTCACTTCCCCTCCCCAGACCTGTTTTCCCATCAAAATAATGGGGACAGTGAGCCTCATGTGGTCATGAAATGGCACCCCCAGATGGGGTGATATTCTACATGTTTAATCGCTGGTAAAGACCAGGTATCAATAGAGAAAGGATGACAGGTAGGGGTCCTGGTGGGCCTGTGGGCAGGGTGAACCCCTTAGCCCCAGACTGTGAGGAGGGGAAAGGGGACAGGGAGAGAGGCACTTCTGAGCCAGGGCAATGGCCCTTTACCGACTAGCACGGGGCACCATAGGGCACGGTTAATTTTGTGCACCCCGCCCACTCTCAGCCCTCTTAAGGCTAAGCCTGCCAACCCGGGACCCTAAAAGGCTGTGTCCAGGGCCTCAACCTCCTCATGTTTCAGAGGGGACCCTGTTATCCCCGGGAGGAGGGAGAGGTCCGCACCCATGAGGATTTCGAGGAGGAGAGGAGGCAGAGAAGCGAGGAGCGGGGCACGGAGCTGTCTTCTCCCCAGGGAGGGCAGGGGTTGAGGCTGGAACGTGGAGACCTGTGGAGGCAGACACCAGAAGACCCGCGCACAGACGCACGCAGCCCCTGGGGCCTCGTAAACCAGATTCCAGGCGCTCTTGGCTTGGCTACCACAAGTCCTGCTCCCCCAGGGCCGGCGCAGGGAAGCTATGCTGAGGAGGATCCCGGTCTGGCCCAGGGCCCTGCCTCCTCGGGAAAACAGCACCATATTAGCACTTAGCCTCTGGGACTGGGGGTGGACAGGCGGCAGGAAGGGCCCCGGGTGCCAGAGGAACAAGTCCCCTTTCTGTTGGATCCCAGAGGGCCACCATCTTAAACCTAGGTGCCTGTCTAGCACACTGCCCATGTCTGTTGGCGCCTGCCAGGGCTAGCGGACCTCACCTGGGATCTTGGAGGCCCAGGGAAGACGTGTCATGGCAGAGTGGGCCTGGGGGCGGCGCACAGGCCAGATGCAGCAGCCCAGTCTGGCAGCCAGGGCTTCCGGGCCAGCTCAGTGTCTCCCCCGGCTGTTCACATTCGTCCGTGCCCTGGGTGGGCCCCAGAGCTGCTCTAACCATGTCTGGCATTTCCATCCTCAGCATGGCTCCAGGAAGAAGATGCTTTCGTCCCCTGCACTGTGGCAACGAGGACTCTGAAGCACAGGTCACCTGCCACCCAGGCTCATGAGGCCAGGTGGAGGGTCCGGCACTGCCCCAGGTTGCTGGGTGTTGTGGTCCTTGTCACCCGTGTGACCAGCTGAGGGGACATCAGCCCTCAGGTGCTCCCCATCAGCCACGCACATCCCGCCCCCACACCAGCCTTCTGAGAGTCCTCACCACCCTTGGACAAAGGTCCCTTTCATGTTTCCCTTCCCAGTGTTCCTCTTCCACCCACTACCTCCAGGACGGCCTGTGAGCTGGTCCCTCAGCCTGGACTCTGGGCTCACAAGAAGTCAGACTGTAAGTTGTGGAGCCTGGTTTCCTGGGTTCAGATCCCCTGTGCCACTTTCTGGCTGTAGGGTCTTGGGCCAGTGACCTCCTTCACCTCTAGCCTCAGTTTCCTCATCTTTGAACCTGGGGTTAGCTTGGCACCTGCCCCACAGGGTGGCTGTCAGGACACTGGGGTGATGCAGGCAAGGCCAGAGGTCAGCATCTGGCTAGAGGTGGCCCTACAATGTCACCACCTCAGCCTGCCCCTCCCAGAAGCCTCCTCTGACCACCTGTTCTGTCTCACCTACCCCATTTCCTAATATGACTGCTGTAAGCACCTGGCCAAGATGTCTGCCTGCTCCACCACCCTGAATGCTTACTGACTGAATAAAATGCTGGGCGGTGTGAAGGGCTGGCCACATGCGCCACCAGGCCACCTCCCAAACGCTGGAACCTCAGGTCCCCTCTCCTTCTTCTGGTGACAAGCCAGACGCAGAACCCAAGACATCACGGACAGCAAGGGATGTGCGCTGGCTGCTTTATTTAAGGGCTTGTGATTGACAGCTGTCCCCACCCCAGCCCTTGCTTCCTCTACAAAAGCAACTGAACACAAAACTGGGCTTCCTTGTTAGCATGGGGAGGGGGGCGGCTCCCTGTCAGGGCCCAGCCCAGGGACCTGGGGAACGGTGGCTTTGAATCCCAGGCCACGGGCACTAGAAGGTGGAGAAGGAGGGCGGGAAGTCCAGTTGAGATGGGCACGGTGCTGGTGAGGAGGCTGGAGAGGTCCAGTTCCAGCCTCTACTGGGCTTCCCTTGTTCAGGATATCAGGAAACAGCCCCCCACTTCCGCCGGGGGGGGAGCCAGAGCCCCAAAGCTGGGGGGCCAGGGGCTGAAGAAGGGAACACAGCAAAGGCTTTTGGAGCCAAGAGAGGTCAGTTCAGGCCCCTCAGGCCCAGGAACCCGCCACCACTGCGTATCTATGAGCACACACTCACGGCCACCCCAGTGACACGTGCAGCCACACACACACCCACATCCACTCCACACTGGCACACACACCCACTCACACCCACGCCCACTCTACACACGCACACAGAGGGCTGTGACAGCCCAGGACCCACACCCTGGACCCCTGGAATGTCTCTGGACCAGAACCGAACAGCTGGGTCCACAGTAGGCGGAGCTGCTCAGGGGGTGGGTCCTCTGTGTTGCTACTGATTGGCTGCCTCGCAGGCGTCTATCCAATCACTGTACACATCCACGGGTTCTGACAGATCTGAGCCGCTTAGGTCAAGGGTGATCATTGGCATTGGAACCCTGCCCTGCACCTTCTCACCCCACATAAATCAGTAGGTGGCACCTGTTCCTCTGGACGGCCTTGGCCCTGCACCAGGGCACACAGTGGGCCAGAGGAGCAGGGTCCGGACTCCAGCCCCCTCCCCATCCTCTGGAAAAAGCCCAGGTTTCTAAGGATACACGTTATGGGCGTCTGGAATTCCTCTAGGCACACAGTACAAGAGATGACTCCGGTGTTGCGGGCACGGTCCCTGAAATAGACCAAGAGAAGGGACTGGTGAGCAATGCACCCAGGGCCTGTGGGTGATGACGCCTTCCCCAAGGGAGGCAAGGGGCAGGATGGAGAACAGCGGGGAGGAGGTGGTGGGGAGGATGGATCCCTTGCCCCGTTCCCCACTCACATTTTCACATCACAGGATTTCTCGTGGTTGCAGAAGGGGCAGGTGAACTGGGTCTCAAGGGTGCCCGTCATCTTCTTCTTGGGAGGTGGCTTTCGTTTGGACTTTCTGCGCCCCATGTCTGCAGGTGGATGAGCCTGTGGGGAGTGGCAGATGTCAGTGGTTTGTGGAAACCACGCAGCCCCCCGCTCAATGCTCTAGAAAGCAGGCCGGAAAGAGGGTCTGGGACTTGCACTATGGTCCTGGGGCCTCTGCCCTTGAGCGATGAGGCGCTCAGTCCTGATACAGGGGGAAAATCCCCTGTCCCACTCTGGATGGAAGGGGTGAGCGGAGGCTCTAACCCCGTCTCTCTCACTTACTGCATGACCTGGGCAGGTTACTTAAGCTCTCTGTGCCACAGTTTCCTCATCCATAAAACAGAGACAAGGCCAGACATGGTGGCTCACACCTGTAATTCCAGACAGCACTTTGGGAAGCTAAGGTGAGAGGATCACTTGATGCCAGGAGCTGGATACCAGCCTGGGCAACAGAGTGAGGCATCATCTCTAAAAAAAAAAAAAAAAAAATTAAAAATTAGCCAGGCATGGTGGTGCAAGCCTGTAGTCCCAGCTACTTGGGAGGCTGAGATGGGAGGATTGCTTGGGCCCAGGAGTTTCAGGTTTCAGTGAGTTATGATCCAGGCACTGCACTCCAGCCTAGGCAATAGGATGAAACCCTGCATCCAAAAAAAAAAAAAAAAAAGGAAAAAAGGTCGGATGTGGTGACTCACGCTTGTAATCCCAGCACTTTGGGAGGCTGAGGCAGGTGGATCACGAGGTCAGGAGTTCGAGACTAGCCTGACCACCATGGTGAAACCCCATCTATACTAAAAATACAAAAATTAGCTGGGCGTAGTGGCGGGCGTCTATAACCCCAGCTACTCAGGAGGCTGAGGCAGGAGAATCGCTTGAGCCCGAGAGGCGGAGATTGCAGTAAGCCGAGATCACACCACTGCACTCCAGCCTGGGCGACAGCGCGAGACTCCATCTCAAAAAAAAAAAAAAAAGATTGAAATAAGGTTGCTATCGCACGAGACACCGTCTCAAAAAAAAAAAAAAAAAAGATTGAAATAAGGTTGCTATCGCACGAGACACCGTCTCAAAAAAAAAAAAAAAAAAAGATTGAAATAAGGTTGCTATCGCAGAGGAGTCTTGTGAGGTTGACACCAGGAATGGTAAGTACTTAGCTGGCGCCAATACAAGGAAGCCACTGTTCCTGGGGAGGGTGGCCCAAGAGACTCCAAGACAAGCCAGCTGTTCAGGGCTGGGTGGAGCCTAAGAGCCTAGGAGCTGGTGATTCTATACTGGCTGCTCCTCTTGTCAAGGGACATGTAAGTACCATCCATGAAGAGTGACACTCAGGGCATCTGATGGCCTCCATCCAGATGACAGACTACAGGGCAGAGAAGTGGGAACAAGCACCTCCGAGTAGAGGAACACTGTGTGAAGGCTCAGGGGCAGCTGTCTGTCCCCTGGCAGGTGGAGGAGACAGGAGGGACAGGTGGGAGGGTTCTGGGTGTTTGGATGGATCCTGGGAGCTACAAGGAGTGAAAGGGTAAAGTCACCCTGGGCTTTTGAGGGACTGCGGTGTGAGTCACAATCTGGATGAAGACAAAGGCACAGCCAGGACAGGGTTGTTGGGGTAGAGATGGCAGAGGGCGAGAGAGACAGAGGAGACATGGCAGCGGAGCGAGTGAGTATGATGAGAGGAGGAAAGTCCAGGATGACTCCCAGGTTTGTGGTGGGGACACAGTGGCTAGGGGGAGAAGGTGGCATCATTCTCTGATGTGTAACATAGAGGAAGGACAGGGTTTTGGAGAAAATGATGGGGTTGGGTGGCAGAGGGATATCTAGGAACAGATGTCCAGGAGGCAGGTGGGTGGGGAAACAGCAGCAGTTACCACCGAGCCCAACTCCCCTGCTAGGCACGGTGCTCAGGGCACTGTGCTTGCCATCCCTGAGCCTCCTATGGCACCTCCTCCAACACACACACACACACACACACACACACACACGACTGCTGGTTCTAGCATCGTTCCTCTGAGGCAGGGAAGGTCAGCAGTCTGCCAGGATCTTCCAGAATAAACAGTGGAGTTTCATTCATTATTTGCTGATCACTTCCTATGTAACATCCCCAACTCTTTTTGTTTGTTTGTTTGTTTGTTTTTGAGATGGAGTCTTGCGCAGGCTGGAGTGCAGTGGCGTGATCTCGACTCACTGCAACCTCTGCCTGCCTGGTTCAGACGATTCTCCTGCCTCAGCCTCCCGAGTAGCTGGGACTACAGGCGTGTGCACTACCACGTGTGGCTGATTTTTTGTATTTTTAGTAGAGATGGGGTTTCACCGTGTTAGCCACGATGGCCTAGATTTCCTGACCTTGTGATCCGCCGCCTTGGCCTCCCAAAGTGCTGGGATTACAGGTGTGAGCCACCACACCTGGCCAACACCCCCAGCTCTTAACAGTGATGCTTCCAATTCACTGAGTAAATAGAAGCAATCCAAAGACAGCTCCTGGGACCAACTCATTCAGCCATCCACCCACCGTCTTTATTTATTTAAGAGATGAGGTCTCGCTCTGTTGCCCAGGCTGGAGTGCAGTGGCATGATCACAGCTTGCTGAAGCCTCAATCCTCTGGCCTCAGCCTACCCAGTAGCTGGGACAACAGGCGTGCACCACCACTCCCAGCTTCGGCATGCCTCCTTTACTATGGAAGTACGTTCCTGCAAAAACAATTTGTTCATTCTGCCCTGGCTCCCATCCCCTTTTCTTTGAGCAACATCAAATTTTCCAGCTCCACTGGATCACTCTCGTACACTTGTTATTACCTCTCTCCTCATTTAAAAAGGGGGAAAAAAGAAAGTCTCTTCATCCTCTTCCAGCTATGATGCATTTCTTTGCAGACTGTTTTAGTGTACAGCCATCTGCATTCCTGTCCATCTCTCTACGCCTCTTGCCTCCAAACTTAGGTCACTGGTGGCTCTATACTGCAAATCCTAATGGCAGTCTTCCGATTTGAGGGATCCTTCCCCCGGTGAAAGCACATGTGGCTCTCAGGACCCCATGTGCTCCCTGTCCTCTGCCTCACTGGTGGCTCCTGCTAGTCTCCTATGCTCCTGCCTGTCTGCCAACTTGCTCTCATGAAGAGAGCACATGAGTTTGGGCCAGGTGCGGTGGCTCACGTCTGTAATCCCAGTATTTTGGGAGGCCGAGGTGGGCAGATCACTTGAGGTTAGGAGTTGAAGACCAGCCTGGCCAACATGGTGAAACCCCATTTCTACTAAAAATACAAAAATTAGTTGGGCATGGTGGCACACGCCTGTAATCCCAGCTACTAGAGAGGCTGAGGTAGGAGAATCGCTTGAACCTGGGGAGGTGGAGGTTTCAGTGAGCTGAGATCGTGAAACTGGCACTCCAGCCTGGGCAACAGAGCAAGACTCCATCTAAAAAAAAAAAAAAAGAAAAAAAAAGGCTGGGTGCACTGGTTCACACCCATAATCCCAGCACTTTGGGAGGCCAACGTGGGCAGATCACGAGGTCAGGAGTTCGAGACCAGCCTGACCAACATGATGAAACCCCATCTCTCCTAAAAATATAAAATTAGTCAGGCGTGGTGGTGCATACCTGTAATCCCAGCTACTTGGGAGACTGGGGCAGGAGAACCACTTGAACCCAGGAGGCGGAGGTTACAGTGAGCCGCCAAGGCACTCCAGCCTGGGCAATAGAGCAAAGAGCCCATGATTTTAATTGTTGGATCCTCTCCTTTCTGGCTATACTCACCTACATGAAGATTTCACCCAGTCTTAGGTGCCTGCTTTACACTGAGGACACCTGCTTCTCCAGCCTTGAGTCTGTCCTCTGAATTGCAGACTCTGATCTATCTGCCTCAGTCACTCCTCCACCTGATGTCTAACTTCCACCTAATACTAAATATAACATGTCAAAAACCAAGCCCCTGGCACTCCAACCTGCTCTTCCACAGTCTTCCTCATCTCAGCTAACAGCAATTCCATCTTTCCGGATAATCAAATCAAAAACAGATTCGGCCGGGTGGTGGCTCACGCCTGTAATCCCAGCACTTTGGGAGGCGGAGGCGGGCGGATCACGAGGTCAGGAGATCGAAACCATCCTGGCTAACACGGTGAAACCCTGTCTCTACTAAAAATACAAAAAATTAGCCAGGCGTGGTGGCGGGCACCTGTAGTCCCAGCTACTCGG